GATTTCACCTATTCATGAGCTTGAATAGTGTCCGAATTCGTAGGTCATGCTAGTTCTGACACACGTTCCACCTACAGCAAAGCAATTCTAACCACGGCGTTCTAACAGATAGATACATATTTGGCTTTCTAAGGGTTGTTCTACAGGCCCCAGCCATACTAGACATAAACCTCTTTTGACATACTAGCTATAAATCTTTCCAGTTGACCTTTCTAGTTATTGTCATCATGTAGGCAAACAAAACCAACCCCGTAAACACCCTGGCATGCACTAATTGATTTGAGCGGGCGGGCAGTACTCAACTCACCGTACGGATACCAGGCAGTCTACGATGGTCTAACTGCCAGGCTATACTGAAATGAAATACTCTTAAACTTTTTATTACAATTATAATATGGTTCTATTTCACGATTTGAAAATCTTGACGGTATATGACATAAATAAGTTTCAAACAGCCATTTTTGTCCATAAGGTGATACATAACAACTCACAATTACTAGTACAATACAAGAACTTATTCAAACTTAATTCAGATATACGTTTCATTTATGCCCTTTTCTCTTTTTATACCCACAGGTAAACTTCGCCATGCCCACCCTGAGATCCAGACTACAGCAGGAGTTCACTGGCTAGCATGAAACCTTAGCATGAAACCTAGTCGTGGAAGGATTGGGGTGTGCATTCATGTTTTGCAGCCAAGAAAATTGAAAAACAAGCATGGAATGCAACAGAATCATGAAAGCGAAGAAAATAATGAATAAAAAAGCAAGACTGACACAAACATACATGATAGAAAACACACAAGTGAATAAAATTCCTTACACAAAACATCACTGTTACACTACATGTGTCACACAGTAAAGTTATAAAAAACGACCAGCATCATATAGTTGCAACTAAAAACATATTTGAAATATTATAAGCTTGAATATGCTGCTCCTGAGCAAGAAATTTGTTCTCTTTTGATAGAAGAAAACATATTTGAAATATCAATAAAGACAATCATTAATATTCTGTGTGCAAAAAGCCACAGTTTGCCCGAAAAGGTGCTATTGCATGCATGGTAACATAAGCCTTTCCTGCTTGTTCCGATGACCACAAGGCCGGAGGCTACCTCAAAACCAATTCCCTAGGGAATGCATTCATGCAATTTTTGAAATTCTTTCAAAGCGATCGCAGTACTTACACAAATGCCTCCGCCCCTGAGGCGTCGCCAAAAAAGGAAAACTTTGGAGAAAACTAATTGCTTCCAGACACGCAGGTGCCTCCAAGAAAGAAGCAAGTCGTTAACAATTCTTTCTAGTATCCGTCTTCTGTGGCAGAGTCTATAATTTGTTTCTTCCCAGATGAAAACTCTCAAACAATTTGCCCACAGCAGATGCTACTGGTGGAATAATTGGATAGAAATTACAAAGTCTCCAAACTGCAGCTGGGCCAATTTTCCAAATAAAATTTGTTTGGAAACTTGGAGACTTTGCATTTATTTTGCTACATAGCCAAAAAGAATGTAAAACCCAAAAATATGTGTATTGAAAAGCCTGTCATCATACTTAACAAGGTTAAACTGTTCATTTAAGGGCCATTGTGTGCAATTTTCAAGGCAAAATAACGATCATTATCATGCATTTAAAGCTAACACATGACATTGTGTAAAAGTAGCTGTTAGAATATGGTTGCTTCAGTGTGTTGAAGGCACTAAAAATAAATTGGAGACCCGATTGCTGCACATTATAAATATGGGGTGTACTACGTACTTAGGAACAAAATGCCTCAAGCTTACATACAATACAATTTAATATTTCTTATCAACTTTAAAGCAACAATTACTGGAATATTAATACTGTTACAGTAACAAAAACAATGGCTTGAATTTGGTCCTAATGCTATCGTATGCTATATGCTATAGTAACTATGTACTACTAAGTTAAACGTTGACAATTAACATATTTCAGTCACAAAACCTCACATACTAAGATAATAAAATCTTGAAAGGTGGCCTATATATAACATTATACATGGGCAATGAATCAAAGCTCAGTTTATATTCAATCATACAATCAAACAATGAAATAGCTTTAGTTAGCTAATCTGCACTTGTCTAATAACTTATTGTTAGCAACTGGAATATACTGAAAATATTCTATCAGAGACTCTCAATAGCCTTCAAAATTGAAAACAGGGTGGCTTTCTTGATTGAAGAAGGTCGAGTGAAGGTCACGGAGTGCGATTCAACAGTCTGAGTTTTACTGACACATTCATAAATAAATCACTGTAAAACGAACAGTACGAAAAGTCATGAAGTATTGACACTACCCCCTACTTCTGTCAAACGTTTGACATCGGAAAACAACTTGGAGTGCACTTGACCAGTAAGCTATGGGGATCATAAAATGAATGAATTTTGGCAGCCTATATCTACGTGTATTACCTGCCATATGCAGAGGCACATATCACAAACTATGGGTACCCCCTAGAGAGCAGAAAAGCAAGTATTTGGTTAATAAGGGGGATCAAAAGGATCTTACAAAGGAACAGTATTAAAAGCTTTATATTATGTACTAGAAACAAATTTTAAAAAAGTATACCCATTCAATGCAGTGGTAACAAAAGAACATGAAAAGGGTATGACAATTTTCTTGGCTTTAAAATTTAAAGAAAAGGACTTAAAAGGATTTTAAATACCATTTTCTAGTAAAAGTAGGTTCAGATTTAAGACTCCTGGGCCTCAATCCTGTTAATTTTGGCCTGAGGTCAAAAAGTTGTCTCCGTAGCCTGACCACAATGCACCACTGCCTATCGGAACACAGATCTCCCATTCATTATGCCTGTATAATGGACCAGCCCCCGGCACCACTTCACTTGGATACAACAACAAAGCAAGGACACACTTTCTCTTTCTGTACGCAACGCCGGCTACGAGGGGCGAACGAGCCATTTTTCCGGCTAGGATTCCAAGGAGAAAGGTTTAGACACCAGTAAGAATTCTTATAGAGGTGCCAGGAAGAAGTACGAACCATGGCGAAGGTGGTAAAGAGCACGACAACGCGGCCGCGCATGGGGACACTGACCCGCGCCCTGTCCACGCTGTCAGCTGGCAGCAGTCTGCCACTGAGGAGAGCCCGGCTGGAGAGTTCCACGACCTCCGCGGCGTCCGAAGCGTCCGATGACTTGGAGTTCAGGGAAAAAGTACCGCCGACGTACCAGTTAGAACCGGCCAAGAAGTTCTCCCAAACACAGGTAATTAACCAGAGGCAGCGGCCACATAAATTTGCAACTTCCAATTTCCAAATTCTTACAGAAAAATGCTTAACAACAACAAAACTGCATTCTTACAAGTCAAACTCTTTAACTATGCATTCTTACATCTTCTATATGATCAGAGTTCTGTTCACTTTTCTTTGAAGTTTATTCCTTCAGAAAATAGAGATCATACTATCTTCATACAAAGAATAAAATAACTAACTAAGATGTTGTTATGAACAGAACTGAAGGCAATTAACAGGTGGTTGAACTATTGTTATTATTCATTTCTAGGTTTAAAAAAATAAGGTAAAATTCAAACTTTACGAAATAATTTGGATGAAAGTCAGCAAACTGCTTTCTTTGTTTTCCAAATAACAGAAAACATATCATTTGATTGATCTAGATGTAAAGGGAAAAGAAACCGTGTGCTAGCACAAGACCTAGTTAGCACGTCACACCATACTACCGTCCACTGAACAAATATCACGCCTCACTAGCCCACAAGAATCGTACCAGTCACCTTTGCTTGCCTTCCCCCACTAGGAAAACTAATTGATGTTTGTACAACGTCGGTCTGCGGAAAAAAGACAACCTCCCAGCAGACATGCCTTACTACTCTTAATAGAGCATGCAGTTGAAACCATTAAATCCAAAATGCTGAATGGTTAGCTGGTTTCCAGGCAAAACAAAGTCCAACGTGGCCCTACAATTAGGCCTAAGCCTAATGTACCCATGTCTTTAATTGGCTAAGCCTATTCAATAAGGTGACTATAGTTGTTAAACCAGTATCACAAAGCAGGAAAATAGTTTGCCTGACAAGTCTGCGAGCTGCAAAAATACTTTTTGGACAAAATACCACCAGTGTCCTCTTGATCATGAAAGACAGAAGAAAGATGTCCAGACTATGCATGATGTACAAAATGACTAATAAACTGGTGGATGTCCCAACTACTAAGTACCTAATACCAGCCCAGAAGAGAACAAGAAATAGCCATGCATTCAAGTACCAGAGTTATCAACCAAGGATTGAGGTGTTCAAGAATTCATTCTTTCCTAGAACTATCGCAGAGTGGAACTCACTGTCACCAAGTACAGTAGGGGCATTGTCAATAGATAGCTTTAAACAATTTCTAGAGCTAGAAGTTCAAGGGTTAGGTGTAACAAGTCGATCGGTGTAATATAGCCAGCTGCCGCTGCGCCGCGTGCCTGCGAAGCTGGTGTGTTACGCCGAAAGGCGGTTATACCGGCTATACAGATACAGATCACTGAACAATTATTAAAGAGGGGAAGATGTTTGTAGGTTATCGAGTGCTCTCAAATATAACCAGTAACCGTAGATTTTCAGGCAAAAAATACACCCAACTCTTTTGCAATCTTTTTATTTGGTGACCTTTTAGTGATCAACAAATTCAGCCAAATGTTGCTGATAGTGTGATGCTCAGGTTTTATAGGAGAATTAACTTTATGAATAGTCTGAACAAAAATATATTGTAAAGATTTGAAATGTACATCATTGTACACAATACTGTAACTATGTGTTTTATATTTCTACCCTGTACAGTTATTAATAAATAGTACATGTACTATCCATAGAACTTGGTCTATCAACTGCAAACTTCAAACACTGTGAAAACCTCAATTTCCGTCCTACCACAAATTTAACTACTGCTTTAGGCCATACCAATTTAATTTGTTGGTTCTCGGACAGGGCGAAAAAAAATTAAAATAAAAACAGGTCTAGGCATCCTATTATAGCCCCAAATGCTACTGTAGGATCCATGGAGTCAACACAAAAGGTTGGGTTGATATTTCAAGAATGAATTTTGAGCTTTTAATTCAACCACTGCATTCAATTTGATAGATGGAAAAACTGTAACAACTAATAGGAAAAGGACTTTCCTCAACTGTTGGGGGCAAAATATGAGCATTTTCAAGTTGATTCAGAACCAGAATCTTTTTTTTTTTGCAAATTAGAAAAAAATGAAGAGGCGAATCCGAGAACCAACAAATTGAATTGGTGTGGCCTTAAGGTAAATAAATTTCAAGTATGTGCATGGTATCACCTGGGATGTTTTTCTGGGTCCCTTCTGTTTGGAATCCCTTAATTACAGATAATTACGGGGGCGTCATGACAATTTTCTCTGTGTTGCAGCAAATGGATGTGATTTTTGTATCCTAAAAGGTATAATTTAGATCAGGAAAATTGATCACTTTCCTTGCAAGAGGGGAGATAACATTGAGAAAGAACAGAGTACATAAAATCAATAGTAATATGTATACTTGAAAAATAACTAATGGTGCTTTATTCACAGCCAATTAAAATTTGGTGTTGCCGCCGAAAACTGCACAATCTTCAAACTAAAAGCTTGAATCCAAAGCAGAAAAAAGCTGGGCTGTGAATCTAAAAAGATGGTGTCTTCACCATCACTTTGAATGGTTCTTTATACATGTACAACAGGGCTCAAAATACTTTGCTGCAAGTGTTTTATATCTGTCAGTCCCTGTCAAGCATGACAGAACATAAATTGAGATTTACCACTGTATAGACATACATGTAACAGGTTACTAGTACCATTTCAAGATGTCGACCCAGACTGTTAAACTTTAAAACTTGAACCAATCACATTGGGACTGACCCCTAATTTTTGGATAAGTGTGATGGGTTCTTTAATGCTTGAGGTGTGGCTCTCATCTAACACTGGACCTCTAGCTTTATGTCCCAACTGAAAGGACATCCCTATCCAAAGCTAGGTAGTCATTTTCAGTTGAGTTAGGAAATGGATGTAAAGTGCATTTCTCAAGGGCACAACAATGCAGCTGGCCAGGGATTCGAACCCAAAACCTTCAGGTTCTAACCACAAGACCACCTTGCCACCAGTACTCAAAAGTTTTTGTATCATTCGTCTAGGTGCAAACCGTGATCCAGTCAGTTCTGGAGAACAAACTAGGCGAAGTGAGGTACGAAGAGCTGGCCAGGGATTCAAACCCAAAACCTTCAGGTTCTAATCACAAGACCACCTTGCCACCTGCACTCTAAATCTGTTGTATCTTTCCCTAGGTGAAAACCGTGATCCAGTCAGTTCTCGAGAACAAACTAGGCGAAGTGAGGTATGAAGAGCTGGCCAGGGATTCGAACTCAAAACCTTAAGGTTCTAATCAAAAGACCACCTTGCCACCAGTACTCAAAAGTTTTTGTATCATTCGTCTAGGTGCAAACCGTGATCCAGTCAGTTCTGGAGAACAAACTAGGCGAAGTGAGGTATGAAGAGCTGGCCAGGGATTCGAACCCAAAACCTTCAGGTTCTAATCACAAGACCACCTTGCCACCTGCACTCTAAATCTATTGTATCTTTCCCTAGGTGAAAACCGTAATCCAGTCAGTTCTCGAGAACAAACTAGGCGAAGTGAGGTACGAAGAGTTGGCCAGGGATTTGAACCCAAAACCTTCAGGTTCTAATCAAAAGACCACCTTGCCACCAGTACTCAAAAAGTTTTTGTATCATTCGTCTAGGTGCATACCGTGATCCAGTCAGTTCTGGAGAACAAACTAGGCGAAGTGAGGTACGAAGAGCTGGCCAGGGATTCGAACCCAAAACCTTCAGGTTCTAATCACAAGACCACCTTGCCACCTGCACTCTAAATCTGTTGTATCTTTCCCTATAGGTGAAAACCGTGATCCAGTCGGTTCTTGAGAACAAACTAGGCGAAGTGAGGTACGAAGACACTCCCGGTGGGACCATGGCAAAGAGCCTGGCAGATGCCATCACAAAGGAAGTGAAGAAGATCGGCTTCGACAGATACAAGATCGTGTGCACCGTCAGCTTTGGTCCGCTCAAGAACAGCAGTGTTAAATATGTCAGCAGGTGTGTGTGGAATCCTCAGTTTGACAACTTTGCAGAGTACACCTACAGGAACAAGTCCTTGTACTGTGTGGGGACTGTGTATGGGGTTTACATGGAATGAAGGGTTGATATTTGCTGAATATATCTTTGAGGGCCTGTGTGGGGGTGTTTACAATCGATGTACATGAATTTGGCAGGGTACATGTAGCTTTGCTTAATGTTAAATTTGAGCAGTCCAGCTATGAATTATGATTGTGGAATGAATAAAAATGATATACAGGCCCCCATATTTTTTTTTTGAAAGGTGAATGTAAAATGACTCAAGTCAGGGTGGCTATGTGGGCTGAGTGGTGTGTATACACTGTATATTATTAAACACTGTCCGTCCAACACAGAAACAATCGTGACAGATGATATTTCTGTGAAAATAACTAAATCTATATTTGATTCAAATAAATTGAACCTGCTGCTAGGGGACAAGGGAAGAAGGGAGCATTATTATGCTGGAGAATTAGAATATTAAATATAATTATATAAAACATGATCATTGCTCTTGGAGTATTACTTAATTCTTGCACAAAAAAAGTAATCAGGAATTTAATGAAGTTTACAACAATTATATCAAATAAACGACCAGGTCTGAACCTTAGGGTACAGCTAAGGACTGTAAAACAACCTAAGTTTGAACTTATCTTACTTTGATGATGTTCACTGATTTTTAAAAAAACTATAATTATGGCAAAACTAAGTTATGTTCTTTATAATAGCTGCAATACACTGTGTAAATCATATTTCTTATTTTCCATCCACTATATGTTTCAATGCACAGTTGTTTGACGATTATTAAAGAATTTTTTTTGATACAATATTCAAGGCTTATAGGTTGGAATCATTTGTATATTTATCAAGATGTGATCTACATACATCAGATTCTATTGTCTACTTAAATATATTTGAGGACCTGCATGGGGGTGCACTGACAACACTGTTTGCTGGCTTAATTTTAGAAAGGCAGCTTGAGCTATTTATTATGTGTAACATTTGCAAAGCATAATGCATAATATTTACCTTCGCATATGGTCTGCTCTGATCTGTTCATTCTTACTCTCAAACACATTCACTGTATATATGGTGACAGGAATCTAAATCCGTCCATGGAGGTAGAATTGGCAACGGCACTTCTACATGTACACAGTCATGTACCTCCATGATCCCTCCAACTATAAAATTGCAACATTACATTACCCAACACCAGTTACCATGGTGAGAGACAGTCTGGTTTAGTCAGGTCAGAGGTCACTGTTTGGAGAAGATGAAGAAGAGGAAACGTAGCAAAAACACTAGAGAAGAAACATTTGCAAAGCAAATGCATAATGTTTACCTTTGGACTTGGTCTGCTCTGTTACTTCTTACTCAAACACATTCACATACATGTACTACTAGCATTATGGTGACAGGAGCAGAGCAGACCATGAAATTGCAACATCATGTAACCCAACACCAGTCACCATGGTGACAGACGTCAACAAATCATGTCATTGGTTAGGTCAGAGGTCACTGTTTGGAAAAGAAGAAGAGGAAACATGATAGCAAAAACAATATGTTTTCCTTTGGTAAGCATAATAATTATTATTATATTTGAACTGTGTGCTTACTTTGGAACCTGTTTCTCTTGCGCTCTGCCTCCTGCTTCCAGACTGGCTCAGCCTGCATGTTTGAAGTCAGATCAACACCTGCAGGAGAAACAACAGAACTGTTAAACCATCGCCCTGCCATGGACCATTCCATTCTCTATGTTTGTATTGTATGACATTCCTTAGGCCACACCAATTTAATTTGTTGGTTCTCAGGATTTGCCTCTTCCTTTTTTTCTGATTTGCAAAAAAAAATTCTGGTTCTGAATCAACTCAAAAATCCTCATATTTTTCCTCCATCAGTTGAGGAAAGTCCTTTTCTTCCTAGTTTGCATCTATATCAATGCAGTGCTTTGATTAAAAGTTCATAATTCCTTATTCAAATATGAACCCAGACTTTTGTGTTGACTTCATGGCTCCTTTTGTAGCATTTGGGGTTATAATAGGATGCCCAGACTTGTTATTATTTTAATTTTTTTTCCCTGTTGCTTCATATTTTTTCGAAAAAATCAGAGAACCAACAAATTAAATTGGTGTGGCCTTATATAATAAAAATCATTATGTGTACAAGAAGCAAATCACTTTTAGCATGCTGAGGGCTTACACAGTTGCTGCCTACTAGTAGGCAACATTGTGATATCCAAGTTTTTAAGAGTAGATATTGTAACATTGCACTAGATTGTTTCTTGGTAGGACATATGGGGCCAACATTGCGTCAACATGCTGAAAGCCTTTAGCTTACTAGGTACTATGTGAGGAAAGCATTTCTTATGAATTTATACACATTTGTGTGACATCATTCCTCCACAAGCTGCATGCTGTGTGTGAGAGAAAAACAGTTAAAAAACAAAGAAAAAGGACAGAAAAGTTGTACATCATTCACCATCAGTGAGAGTGATAAACTACAATCATGTAGGTGAAAGTGAATCAAAATTGAAAGCGATCTACAGTTTAGCTAAGGCCACAGCAATTTAATTTGTTGGTTCTCGGATTTTTTCAGACAAAATATGAAGTAACAGGGGAAAAAAATAAAAACAGGTCTAGGCATCCTAATAGCCCCTAATGCTACGATAAGAGCCATGAAGTCAACACAAAAGGCTTGGTCTTAAACAATGAATTTTGAACATTTAATCAACCACAGCTGCATTGATAGATGGAAAAACTGTTACAGTAACAACTATAAAGAAAAGGTCTTTCCTCACTGTTGGGGGCAAACCATGAGCATATTTTAGTTGATTCAGAACCAGAAATTTTTTTTTTTGCAAATCAGAAAAAAAATGAAGAGGTGAATCCGAGAACCAACAAATCAAATTGCCTAAAGTGAACTCAATGAACAGTTGATCTACCCTTCCACTGGTCAGCCATTATTCTAAAACACATTAAGACAGCATTCGTGTTCCAAAGTTGGTGACTTGAGTTTGTGTAATTGTGAGAAGGAAGATGGAAAGGCTGAATCATGCAAACAAGGCAAGCGATGAGCATGTGTGGATTACATGTCTGTGGAAAGTCAACACCATCGCAAGCAAGCACCACCATTCCTGCAACATTGATATCAAAATTATTAATCTACAAAAGACTGTCTTAACTAGCTATACATTAAGACTAGTTAATTTAAAACATATTCAGTGTACAACATGCCAAGATGCATGTTTCATACAATCAATGCATTATTTTACTTTTGCGGTGGTTTTACTTTATCTACAAAAAATGTGGGAAAAGGAGGTTTTCGCTGTGTTTGTGCACAAGTTTGTGGTTAGAACAATTTGTAGTACTGTAACAATAACTATAAAACATATACTGTAATTCCTGATTTTTTCACTGTACTGTTAGGTTCACTGTTTTCACTGTTGCTTCTGAACAGTGAACTTTTCATTACAGTTAACAATAATTCCTGGACTTTCTTTTTCCTACACCTTTCATCACCGTGAATATATAGTTCCGTGGACATGTCCATTTTTCTAAGACCGTGAAATTTTGCTACTGTGAACATTAAGTGAATTACAGTATTCCCAGTGTTAGGATTTCATGGTAAAAATTCAAAGCTAAAATAAAACCACCACAAAAGTTTCTGCGTTTACAGTACAGTGCTGTAGCTTGAAGGCAGCAAAGATCTTGAACAAACTGTGCAGTAAAAGAGGTTAAATCATGAAATTAGCAGAGAATTAGAGAGAGTGAATTAAATGTTGTTTTTGTTAGATTTGGTGTGATTCTGTGATGCCCAGCCACCGTTAACAGCCTGCTTGTCTTACCAGCTGGTCGAGGTCTAGACCTGGGTCTGTGGATGGGGGAGTCGGGATCAGGGCTCTCATCACTGTCTGCTGGGAGAGGCAATTAATCCAGTTACACCTGAGACCCTTTAAGATCCTCTTAATGGAAACACATTCAAAACAGTTTTAGAACAAAAGTTCAAACTTGAAAATGAAGCTACATGTAGGACATCCCTGAAGGTATAACTCATCCCTTTTTTAACAAACACAAAATTTCTCATCCGAATATACACCATATATATAGACCATTCATTCCATTCTTTTTAAAAAGGCCTTATACAAAACATACAGTCATGTATAAGCTCTACTAAACATAACTCCGTCACCTATATCAGCCACCATGAAAAAATGCGCATCCAAACAGATCTCCAATGCAATCCCCCAATGGCATATACATGTAATTCGCTCCTGAAGAATTGCCCCAAATACTCTGGGAATGATTGAAATGGGGAGATGAAATGCAGGACATGGTTTGTTTTCTTTGTATGATAGGTAAACTGCCTTCTCAACCCCGTTAATCAACTGTACCCAAATCTCCACCCGCCCCCTCCTGATCCCTGCTGCTCAGGACAGAGCATATTCGGGTCCCAGTATATACCTGCAGGACAAGGTACATACAAACTCCCAGTGAACGAGAGCCACCCAAAACAATACTTCTGTCCCAGAAGAAGCAACCCTGACCAGAAGACCACCTTCCAATGTTGTCCAGCTTACTGCATTATACATTGTACATGTAGTAGAAACATCTCAGTCTGCAGAACTTACTTGGTGCTGCAGACTGAGGTCTGGAGCGGAGTTTCTGCAGCCAGTTGGCGGGGCTGTCGGGCGAGTCCTTACTGTCGCTGGTGATGATCTGGGTCTGGTATCGTCCCTCCCGTCTGCGGCGGGACAGCTCGCGCTTCCACGCCGGCTCCGGAGGAGGCTCCTCCGCTTCCTTGGATTTTGGAGGCTGAAGACGATAAACACGGTTTCACTGTTAAACACCATTATCATTTAGACAAAATATTTGAGAGATCTTGGTCCTGGTCCGTGAGCACTGTCTCAGGTACATGTGTGCACAGTTTAGATACAATGTATGCAGGAGTCTGACATACATGTAGTTTACTAATAGGCACATTTTTATGGTGGTATATGGTGGTGTACATGTATGTACTTTCCTACTATCCCCTACCACGAGAAAACAATTTTACTACAGTAACTACTAAAATCAAAGAACCCACATATTAAAGAAGAAGTGGGTGAATTTGTCCTCCACTACCTCAAAAGAAGAAATCAAACCCAGCAAAACTAGTACCATAATGATTGTATGTTGTAGAATGCAGTATAAGGTTAGACGTACAGTCGCTCATATTTTCTTTTTTCATACATGTTGCTTGTACCTGCAATTAGCCCTCAGGTATGTATTTGCAATAAACTTTCTATATGTGATCTGGTGGAATTAATCTAATTATAGATGTTATGAATTATGTATTATATGTATCACAATCAATCAATAAAAAAAACTCGGATAAGAAGAAGAAGAACAATTATGATCAATGATCAACATCATTACTGAAGCCGAATAACACTGTCAATGATTTTTGTTTTTTTTAATTTGTTGATCTCTTGAGGGTCACCGAATTTCAAAATCGTCAGATGTGCTACACATAATATTAATAAATATGTACAATGTAGAACTATACATGTAGCTGAAGGTTTTCTGCATTGATGATCATAAGTAAAAACTACATGCAAAAGAAGTACTGTAACAATGAAACACTATAAGAACGCTAGCTTGTGCTCCCTGGGCAAAATGTGCAAAAGAATAGAATGGCCATGCAGAAGACTGACCATTTGAACAGAGGTAATAGGGGAGTTGTCTGACAGCTCAGAAGGATCCTACAATGCAACAAAGAATAAAACAAAGAAAAACAGAAATAAATACAAAATCAAGAAATGCAAACTTTGTAATCTTTTGAATAAGGCAATCTTTGTGATATTGACACATACTGCTTCACATTGGCACATTTGAGTCAGTATTTCATACTTTGGGCTTTTAAAACTGCAGAAACAAGCCCCAAGATGATCCTTTATTGTCTGGCTGGTGCCCTAAAAATCAGCCAAGGGCCCCTCCAGTAACCATATTCCGTCTGAATTTTGGTAATTTTTGCTCCATGAGGGTCAATATACATTGGGATAGTGTTGTGTCAACTCAGTATGTAGATAGGTGACTGGAATATTGGCTTTGAGAAAATGGGTTGTCAAGCGCTAAAAACTGGACTGGATGCCTTTAGGCCACACCAATTTAATTTCTTGGTTAACAGATTTGCCCGCTTCATTTTTTCCTGATTTGCAAAAAACAAAAAAACTTTAGAATCAACTGCAAAATGCTCATATTTTTGCCCTGAACAGTTGAAAACAGTCCTTTTCTTCCTAGTTGTTACACTTATTCCATCTTTCAATGCAGTGGTTTCATTAAAAGTTCAAAATTCATTGTTTAAATTTTGAACCAGCCTGATGTGTTGACTTCATGGCTCCTATCATACCATTTTGGGCCATAATACGATGCCTAGGCCTGTTTTTATTTTTTTGGCGACGCCTCAGGGGCGGAGGCATTTGTATAAGTACTACGATCACTTTGAAAGAATTTCAAAAATTGCACGAATGCATCCCCTTGGGAATTGGTTTTGAGGTAGCCTCTGGCCTTGTTTTTTTTCGCTCCATTATTTTTCTAGAAAAATCTGTTAAACAAGAAACTAAATTGGTGTGGCCTTAACATTAATTTTTTTATCCTTAGTTTAAAGGAACAGCTGGCCCTTACAGTGTAGCCCTGTTGTCCTTGGCTTCTCCGTCTCCTGATCTCTTGTTTCCAGCCGGGCTCCTCGGCAGGTGGTGATGACACCTGCGAGTCTCGCCCCTTCAGCTCCTCCAGGTGCGACTTTGTACCAGTGTCACCTGCAGGGAGCAGCAAAAAATCAGGTGCCAGAAATTTCACAGCTGCAAATGTTCTCTACAGGTGGCACCTACAAGGAAAAACTGTGTCTCAAAGTCAAGGGAAACATTTCCCCAACTGATTTTGAGGCCTACAAATTGCCCATTTAAGGTGAAAACTTTTTTATGTGCAAAATTACCTGGAAACTACTAATCCCTAAATGTGCTAGATATGACAAATATTGCCTGTGATGCACAATAAAAGTAAGGCCACACGGACGTAATTTTATGGATGACATCCTCTGAAGACCCCCAAAATAGTGCACGTGGGTGAATAAATAAAATTCCGGCCAAAAATAAACATTTTACTAAACCACAGGAATACAATTGGTATAATTGTGAATTTGTGGCAGTACTTAGCGATGTATACGACAAGATGGCACATGCACATGCCGGCGGAATTTATGAATCGGCACTGTGCGTATGAGCTGTCAGTTCTTGAGTCGTGGAGAATTGGTGGCCTGGGTGTCTGCCTCCATATTGTCACTAACTACCATGGACTACCTAGGCCTTCGAGCCAGGCCAGAGCCTTGGAGGACGCTTTTTTTTTTAACAGGCGAAAATCAATGCGCGTGTGGATGTCATCAATAAAATTAAGTCTGTGTGGCCTAACTTAATAAAAAAATTTTAAGAAAAGAAATAATATTTTGTATTTCCCATATATATGGTGACAAACTGACAACCCCTGTCTTACTGTAGATAATGTGACCACAGAGCAACGTACTCATGAGCAACCAAAAATTTGACGCATGGATCAAACAAATTTCATAGAATAATTCATGTTTAAAAAAATTGACGTTTAACACACCGCACATAATATTCCAATTATAAAAACAAGGTTCCCACAAATTCAATTTTGGTTGCTCAATGATAAATATTAAATGGTTGCTTGGCGTCTAGTGGAAGGGAGACATACATTTGTAGGAACAGATCTACAATGAGTAGCTGTGTATATGTGCATGAGGGAAGAAGTACTATGTAAAAGTGAGGGTAAAAAAGAACAAAACAGAACACAGCACACCAAACAAAGCTAGGAATGTGTGTATTAATCAGCCTGCACCATACCATATACGGTACCGCGAGAATCAGTCATTCTCCGCCGAAGAGCGACTCTCCACGCGGGAGGGAGCGCATCAGTACGGTACGAGTCATGGGGTGGTGTGTGTACGGTGCAGTACCGAGACATGCCTCTAGATGTCCCCACTGATACACAATCAAACAGGCATGCACAAACATGCAAGAAGTCTTAATGATTCATGCATTAACAACAGATAGATGATCCAGTTACCTTATGGGACATTTTAAATTATCATAATTTATATAAAACAAAAGACAGATAATATAGCTGAGTAAATCATGCGGGACATTTCAAGAAAAGAAAATAGATAAGGGACAGTTTGGGCAAAGTATCAAGTAATATTAGATGACAGAAACCATGATAATAATTAACAGTATTGTGTTCCTGCACTCTGTCAGTAATATAATCATGATATTAGCAACCTCTTTAACTGTCTGCATGAGTGATATGATAGAAAATATAATCAATAAAAATTATAATTATCCACTGGACTTGAAAAGTACAGCTTTTGTTGTGAAGCTTCCACTGACCTCTGACCTCTGGTGCCTTGGAGAAATATGAGCTGAACTGTTTGAATAACTTCTTGACGGGATTTACGTTCTTTTCGGAGTCGTGTACAGGACAACTCTTCACTCTAGACACCTTTTCTTTCGCAAAGGAGTCTGTTTTTTCACCTTCCACAGATTCTGGAGGTTTTATTCGAGAACTGTGAGGAAGATCTACAAATTCCCTGTCGTTGTCTAAAAGGTTTTCGGCCGATTTTGAAACGCGGGACTGCTTTTCTATGAGTGACTCGAGGTGGGGGTGTTCAATGGTGGTCCAACTCTGTCTGTCTGCTGTAAACAACATAGTCACAACAATTCAATTTGTCCAATCTTCAGCACAATTTCAGTTGTTTAGAAGATATGTTAGAACTTACCGTTCTGAGAATTACATTGTGTTAAAAAGATTTTTAAAAATTCGAAAGTGCCCATATTGTTAGTAAGGCAACAGCAAGTAAATTTTATGGATGACATCCTCCGCAGATTCCAAATCTAATGCAAGCGGGCGAAAAAAAACAAGGCGGGCCGAAAAAAAAAGGTTCCTACATTTTAAGATTTTGACTCATTTGATTCAGTAGGAACATAATACATAGCCAGCATCACATATCACTGTATCAAAGTAAGAAACAAAATATTAAATCAGAGCCTTTTCTTGTCTCCACTCTGCCATCCACCTTCCGGCATGGCAACAGACATCTTTGCCCATTTACGGCATGTTAACCACTGTCAGAAGGCAACAAAATTTTTATTTTTTTTCCCAAAATCAGGTGAAAATTAATGCGAGCGCTGATGTCATCCATAAAAATTACTTGCTGTGGCCTAAAGAACACTAAAAAACAACAAATTATTAAAACCTGTGCTGAAGTGGACAGATTGGAACCCAAACCAACGAACCCACAGAAACAATGAAATGACAGTTACTGTAGTTACTGTTGATTAATGATGACATGTTTGGGTTATTGACAGTTGATTCTTGGTTGATGATTTTAGTTAGGATGGATTAGAACTTTCCCCCACCAGTCACCAGACATCAGAGGTTAGTGGAAGCTACTCAACGTGACTCCTATATTTAGTTTATTTCTTATTTACCCATACCAATATATATTAGATTTTCCTTACTTTCATTTATTAGTTGTGTTGAACAGGCAAATGCTATATTACATTAGAAAACTTTACAATTAATCATAGAACTTACAAAACAAACAAAAATGCCGATGATAATGTCATTACATAAACAGTTGAAATATTTTTATAAAATATAAAAAACATAATTCCAGCCCCCCATACTCTCATTACAGCCCATACATTTAGATAGATAGATGATAGATGTTAGGTTTTTTTTTTAAAAAGGGAAAAAAAACATTAAAAGAGTTTAAAAGTAGCACTTAGTCTAGTTGATACTTTTCAATTTATTTTATGTTCATTAATTTTCCCTGTTTCTCTCTATATAATTAACCTGTTTATATTACTTCTGATGTATACTAAGTCTTGCAATTAGTCTTTGAGCACTGATTTGTAATAAAGTTATTATTATTATTATTAGTTACTAAACTATAGGGTTAATCTATTCTACCTGCTGCCCCCAGTTCCTTCTTACGTTTCTGCAGCTGAACCTTCCAGTCAGGGATCTGGGCCAGTTCCGACGGAGAGCTGTCTCCACCACTCTTACTGGAAGGATTCGAGAAAAAGGTAATATGTTAATATTGTATGATACAGGGCTCAAAATACTGGGTGCATGTGCACCTTAGTGCACCAAAAATTGGAACTGTGCACCCACTTTTTTTCTGTGGGTGCAATGGTGCACCCAAATATTTTTCTAGGTACTTTTGTGCATATCAAATGTCTTATAGTATACAGGATATTCTTGGCATCTAAGTATCAGAAAAAGAATAAAATCTTTCTAAATAAAACAAAGGCATAAAGCTTAATAAAGAGGCCAATTCCATTTGTTTCTACTTGGTTTATCCAGATACCTAAAAAGAGCATTCCAAGAAAAAGGCTTACCCAAGAAAATATAGAAGGCCCTGTCCTTGGTGCTGAATTGGTTAGCAATTGAACCAGGCTATTTTTACCAAACTTCGTCTGCTTTCTTCTAAATCTAATCATGTACACATTTGTCAAGCACAAAGGGGCACAGTACTTGACCCATCCCCCTCAAAATAGCTTTCTTTTTGCTCAATACCCAACGTTGTCTTGGCAACAGCCCAAGCAAATTTGGGGGCCATTTTCACAGATTTTTAAACTTGGAAAGCGGCAAAGTTTAGGTTGAACTGTAAACAAACTTTCTCCATGTTTGTTTCGAATCTTCATATCTGATGTTTACCCTGCACTTATCTCGTTATGAATCTACCTTAAGCTACAATTTTTAAGTAGGTAATTAATTTTTAATCATTTAAGAGATGTCAATGTGTTGTATACAGAAATGAAGAATTTACTGATGAGGACAATTTTAAATTGTAAATACCTACAAGTTGTGTATTATAAAACAAGCAATTCAGACTTTTGTCTGCTATGTGGTATTTGAAATAAAAGTTTCAAAAGTTTCAAAGACACCGATTTTGTACTTACTCTGAATTTTTTCTGCTTCTCAGGGAGACTTCTCTTACAAATGGCGCTTTTGGTTCCTCATCAGCCGATCCTGACAGCTTTCTCTCCAACCGCTTCTCCGGATCCGCCGTTTCAATCAAGGCGTTGCAGCGTTGGGACTTCTTCCTGGACTGTTCGATCCAGGAGGGGCTTTTCGACGACTCCGTGGCGTTGGCCCCGCTCCCGCTTCCTGGCCGCGTCTTCTTCAGCTTCGTCTCTGAGAACCACGATCCCGCCTTGTCGCCATTCCTTGTGTCGAGCTCTCCGTTTGACTCCGGGGTTCTCGCCAGTTGTTTCAAAGGCGGTAGGTTTGCCTCGGTGTTGGTGTTTTCCTTCTTGGTTTCGAGTTCCACCAGTACCTTGTTACTCTTGACTCTGGCTGTCATGTTCTTGGCTCGGTTGGCCCACTCTGGTGCGGTTTGATCCTGTTGTTTGTCCTTGGAGCTCTCTGCGATGTCCAGCACCCTTTTGGTCTTCTCTTCGGCCTGTTTGGCCCAGTCCGGCGCGGCTTTTTCCACCTCCTTTTCCTTGCTCAGCTCGGTGATCGTTTGGACCCGTTTTGTCTTCTCCTCCGCCTGCCTCGCCCAATCGGGAGCGGCGCGCTCCGATGCCTTTTCCCGCTCCGCGCTGGTTTCCACCATCGTTTGCATCCTCTTGGTTTTTTCTTCCGCCTTCTTTGCCCAGTCCGGAGCGGCTTTCTCCTGTGTCTTCTCCTTCTTGGTGTCTTTACCAGACTTGAAGGACTTCTTGAGACGAGCACGCCAGTCTTGCTCTGGTGGTTCATTTTCCTTGGCCATTTCTTCATCGTCTTCCTTGGAGGGAGGGCTCTCCACTTTTTTCAGCTGGGCTTGTTTTGTCCACGGCCCCTCCCGTTCTTCTGGTTCTTCAGGTGGGGGCATCTCCTCAGGTGTTCTCACCTAGTTAAGTAATAACAATGAGTGAATGAAAGACTTACTGTACATTTATGCTCTTACAAGCTAAGTACAGGACAGGTCATGGTAATAACATTTAGTTTAATTTTACACGTAGGTGCAATTGCAATCATACAAGTCTGGTATCTTACTAAAGGGGATTGTGTGGCATAACGGTGGGGTGTCTGGCCCAGAACCAAGAGGTCCTTGGTTCGAATCCTGTCATGTCACCAATATTAGATGTGGAGGGTCCAAACCCCCGTGGCCGCCCTAGGAGGAAATGGTACAACAACATATGGGAGGACCTCCACCACCTGAACTTAGATAAGATCATTCCACAGGACTATGACAAGTGGTGCCATCAAGCCCCAGTTGTACTGTGCAAGCACGTCTAACCCTCGGAAGACGGGGAACAACAGACGATAAACTAGACAGTGAGTGTGATTGTACCCTTAGGAGAGGCACTTGGCTTGGCACAACTTTCTTCACTTCACCCAGGTGTAAAATGTGTACCTGACTTTGGTTGGAGAGGTAAAAGCTGGCAGAAGGAGAGGGATGGGCTCTGCCTTCCAATACCGTGCCCTAAACACAGTGGATCAACAATCCACTGCCTCTAATGCCTCAAAAATGCACATAAGGCCACACCAATTTAATTTCTTGGTTAACGGATTTTTCTAGAAAAATAATGGAGCGGGCGGGCAAAAAAAAATAAAAACAGGCCTAGGCATCCTATTATGGCCCAAAATGGTACAATAGGAGCCATGAAGTCAACACACCAGGCTGGTTCAAAATTTGAACAATGAATTTTGAGCTTTTGATGGTAGCGCTGCATTGAAAGATGGAATGACTAACAAGTAGTAAGAAAAGGACTGTTTTCAACAGCTCAGGGCAAAATATGAGCATTTTGCAGTTGATGCTGAATTTTATTTTATTTGCAAATCAGAAAAAAATGAAGAGGCGAATCCGTTAACCAAGAAATTAAATTGGTGTGGCCTAATATATCTCAAAAACTTCTTCAGGTCTTATGTACCTTTTTGAGCTGTGTGTCCTTGGCCCAGGAGGGTACAGTAGCCTCTTCAGGTGGTGAGGGGAGCTTCTCTTTAGTCGGGGTATGCTTCAGCTGGGAAAGCAAAGAAATGAAACCCTGTTACTTGATTTCAGGTTTAAACCATGGTCCACAAAATTGAAATGGCAGTTCAAGAACAAAGCATAATGATAAAATACAATGTAATGTAAAATACATGATGATACCAATTACCCTTTTTTCATCTTTGCATAAAACTCAGTTTGAATGTGCTGATGAGTGACATACATTTGTAGTGCTGACCTAAATTGTTTTTCTTCATTCTTTGTCAAAATTCTTGTATTCTTGCATAAATATAATGAATGACCTATTTAGTAAACAGTACTGACATACTGTACAACCATCTTTCATGAAGTTGAAAGTGGTTTTTAAATGAGGGTCTGCATGCCCTTTTTCGTTAACCGTTATGGGCTATTTTAATTTACCGTTAATCGTTGCCGGCCCGCTCTAATTCAACGTTAAGCGTTATCAGTATATTCCTCGTGAAGCGTTATGGGTCGTTTTAATTCAACGTAAAACGTTATTTGTCATCCTAAATTCAGCGTTAAGCGTTAATGAATAATTCTTCGTTACGCCTAATTTTGCCTTTCAAAGTGCAGGAAAATGCGTTTAAAAATACAAAATTTCCCGGGGGAGAATGCCCCCGGACCCCCGGACATTGCGCGCGCCTTTGGCGCTCGACTCGCGCTTCTGCGCTCGGTCGCTTCGGCTCTAGCCAGAACCAGTTTTTCCTTCAATTTCCGGACGTTTGCGGAGAGTTACAGAATTTTTCAACGAATTTGTCAACCTTGACAGGCAAATTAACAAAAATCTCATGATTTGCCTCTCAAAATGCGGGAAATTGCGTTTTTGAAGGCTTAAAAATCCTTAATTTCCCGGGGGAGCATTCCCCCGGACCCCCCTAGATTACTCCCCTCTCAAAATCCATCGGTAAAACTGGGCAGACTGAAAAAATGCAAGCTGGCCGACGTCGACTCGGACACCCCGGTATTTGTGGACGCACTCGGGGACCAGGGCAAGTGGGAAACACAGGGAACACATACCTTTAATGCATGCTTCATTACATGTAAGGTATACGTAATTTTGTCAATGATCACAAAGCGAGATACCAAATGCAGTGCAGCTCGAAAAAAAAGCCTGTCAATTTACCGTTAAGCGTTGCCGACCGTCCTGAATTTACCGTTAAGCGTTATCGGCCCTGCTGAATTTACCGTTAACCGTTGCCAGGACCCCCCCATGCAGACCCTCTTAAATGGTTCACCAATGTCCTGCAAAGGTACTTGCATAGGTAGGTGCACTTTTGATACAATCTGCAAGGAGGCGTGCATGTACTGCTGGAGTGTACAATGTACCTTGACAGGGCTTGACTCCAGCTCCTCCAGACCAGGTATGAGGACGCCTGTCTTGGTGGGTGAGGCTGCAGGTCTGGCCTGCGGGGAGCCGGCGGTGGGAGACTGGAGGAAGTGCTCGGGGCTGGCGGGGGACGGCTTGTTGGAGCTGCTGCGGCTGGAGCCACCTGATGCCAGACCTGGAGAAATGTACCAATCATTGTCAAAGCTTGGCCACGATAACATTCAATACCAGTGTTCCAGCCTGTGTGATTAAGTACCCGGCACATTGAATTTTGTGTGCACCACTTGCGAAACAATACTGGATTCAGACCAGATTAAGACATTGCTACTGTTACAATTTTTGATTTAGGGACACCAAATTTTCTCAACTTTGGAACATTTTGCATTGCGTTCTTTCTCGGGTGGGTATGGCAATTGCGCAATCCAACACGTGGTCGGACAGGTACCTCGAGTGATACAGAATAAGCAAGTCGGCAGAATGTACTGCGCCTGCACGAAACCCCCATTTTTCACAATTTTTGTTGGATTTTTGGTCAACGTTGCATTAGAATTTCGCCTGTTGCATCTTTTCCGACATTTGGAAACAGACGGAGTGTTAACCTTATGTGAATGAATACAACCTTATGTGAGACTTTCTGCCGAAGTGCTACCGGTAGGTACAATACATTACAAGTTTTGCGCAGGTGCAATGCCTACAGAATACAAGTTGTTATATAATTTTTTAAACAAACCAGCTTGCCCCTAGAGGCATTGCCAAAAACATACATATCAAACACACATGTATATTAAACAACACTGAAACCAGTTGAGTTCAGATACAGCCATCCAATGTAACACTAAAAGCAAACACTCCATTAAGCAATACTTGGCTACTAAGGTTGGCATGAAATTGCGTGAACCTAATATGGATGTTAGTATGTAAAAAATAAAGCATCAGTAAAGGTTTCAGGCGGCAACAGCATCTTCATCACAGCAAGCTTCCTAGGAACCTGTATGCAATCTACAATGCTGTGAAGAAAGATGTAAAATGTATAAGGGAGTGAAGCAGTCAGTGGCACTGTGTATTAAGAAGCGTAACTTGAGATTTATGTTAGAGCATCATGGAAGCTGGCTTTCTTCTAAGCCCTGCACACCAGTTTAACTAAGCTGTTTCACATCAGATTTTGCAGGATGGCAAAAGACAATGAAGGTTTTTGAAACATGGTTCCTTATATCTAATCTTTGTGTACATCATTTTGAAGTAAGCATTCTAGAAAACTGTTACCTTGAAGTAAGCATTCAAGGAACCTGACGTTGAAGTGTAAGCATTCTAGGAAACAGCGTATAATTTTGAAGTATGCATTCTAGGAAACATCTAGGAAACAGTGATCATTTTGAAGTAAGAAATTCTAAGAAACAATGTATAATTTTGAAGTAAGCATTCTAGAAAACATCTAGGAAACTGATCATTTTGAAGTAATCAATTTTACGAAACAGCGTATAATTTTGAAGTATGCATTTTAGGAAACATCAACTTGAAGGAAACAGTGATCATTTCGAAGTAAGCAATTCTAGGAAACAATGAATAATTTTGAAGTAAGCATTCTAGGAAACATCTACTAGGAAACAGTGATCATTTTGAAGTAAGAAATTCTAGGAAACAATGTATAATTTTGAAGTAGGAATTCTAGGAAACAGTGATCCTTTTGAAGTAAGAAATTCTAGGAAACAGTGATCATTTTGAAGTAAGCAATTCTAGGAAACAACGTATAATTTTGAAGTAAGCATTCTAGGAAACAGTGATAATTTTGAAGTAAGAAATTCTAGGAAACAATGTATCATTTTGAAGTAAGCATTCTAGGAAACAATATGATTGTAGGAAACAGTGATCATTTTGAAGTAAGAAATTCTTAGAGGAAACAACGTATAATTTTGAAGTAAGAATTCTAGGAAACAGTGATCATTTTGAAGTAAGCAATTCTAGGAATTAATGCATAATTTTGAAGTAAGCAATTCTAGGAAACAACGTATAATTTTGAAGTAACCATTCAAGGAAACATCTAGGAAACAGTGTATCATTTTGAAGTAAGCAATTCTGGGAAACAGCTAAGTTATGACAGTGTGTCTGTCCCACCACCTCGGCAGCGCGGCTGATATGATACCTGGCAGGGCAAAGCCCCTGACTCTGCTGCTGATGGTTTGTCTCTCCTGGACACTGTGTCTGTGGGTAATGGTGGTCCACTCTGGGGACACCGGATCATCCGCAGGCTCTGTGGAATCAAACACAGTCACCGCTACAAAACGTGCATGTACATTTGTAAAAACCACCTCTTGGGACATCCTTCTAGAAAATTTGAGTGTCCGTGATGGTTTATCGTACAATCATCAAGCTGAAGACATTTTTGGAACTGTCATGGATGCATCGTACAAAACTCAGCTTCCTACAAAACAGGCTGTCTGCTTCTGCTGATCCTGGAAGTGGTTTGTTTCTGTCACAGCTTGAAAATTCTACGACATAAAAGTCATACGATAACCTAATACATATAATGACAAATGTGACCACAACTTAAAAGGAAGTCCTAGCAAAGCAGAGAAAACACTGAGGCTTTAGCAAGAAGCTCCACCAATTCCCATATTGCTCACCAGCTGTGCAGAATTGCTGTGAAGAAAATTTTACATTTCATTATTTTTCCTAGAACTGTAATTATATAATAATAGTATACATACAATGTATTGATAATACTGCCTGTCAGCATTGGTATGGGAAATACAATTTTGTATACTTCTTGTTCTGAAGGGAAAGTGCACAGAAGCATACCTTGGTGCAAACACCCCTTCTATAGACAAGGAGACACCTGGACAGGACTAAGGCTACGTTGATTTGATAATATGGATGACATCTTCTGGGAACCCCAAAACTGATGCGAGCGTGTGAATAAAAAAAGTTTTGCAAAAAAAAAAGTTGCTTTCATTATGAAATAGACTTGGTCATGAAGGTTGAACAAATGACACAGAGTATGGTTTGGCGAATAATCTACTCTTCAAATTCATTTCTTTACATTTTCGCCTATTTAGTTTGATGTTGGCATTCAACGACAGTGGTATCAATTTTTGTGCAACTTCCGGTATATTTTTGCTCATTTTGCAACTGTTTTGTACGATAATACAGTATGGTTGAAAACTTTTCTTTTTGAAACGGCCGAAAATTCATGCACGCACGGATTTCATCCATCTAATCAAAATCAACATGGCCTAATGGAAAGGAATATGGTTCAGAGTACTATATAATCTTGAAGCTGTGGGCAGCAAAGCAAGAGTTCCCGTGTTGAGTTGTTAGACAATAGTATACCTGGCATTGACTGTTGTCGTTTAACCAATGAACCTTTAGACTCCTGACTGGAACTGTGGTTAATTTTGGTCCAGGCAGGAGAGGACTGGGCTTGGTCTAGAGGAAAGTACAAGTAGAATGTGCAGCATTATGAAATTGTAAAGTATTCTTCAAATAAAGATGCTGAAAACAAAATTAGGAAAAGTAGAGTGTAGGGAATGTTTTTTTTTATATACTGGGTTGGATAAATCTTTTTCTGTTAAGTATGGATTGGATAAATTTTCATTGCAATCTGGAGAAAAGCAGTTATCAGTATTATAATAAAATAAATGTAAATTACTGATATTTGAAAACAATGTGTTTTTACTATTAAGGAGGGTCTGCATGCCTTTTTCCAAGAGTAGTAGCAAGCTATAATTCTAATTCTAGATTTTGCGACCTGCACAAAGTCAGTACCTTCTGTAGAGACCCCTTTAGCAGGAATAGGGGAGCTACGAGGGCTCCGATTGGGTGACGCCTTAGGAGAGGGCTCTGTGGAAACAAATTCAGCACCATGGACAAAGCACATACCAGACTCAGCATCTTTTCCCATCACTTATAATAAGAAACCATATCTGCTCATGATTCAGCAAACAAAACTTGTTTAAATGTTTAATCAGTAAACTGTGAGACATTGAAAATTCTGTGACCCCATTTCCTGTATCCGACCTTATGGCCTGTCATTCTGCCTGTCAATCTTCCCCCTCCCATGTCTGTTCAACTGGATGGACACACAAACCCACAGCTTAGCCTCCTAAGACATTACTTCTGTACTCAGATTGTACATTGTGTAAAATGTGTGTCAACTGAGCATGTTAAGCGTACTACTGGGCTACATGACAACAGAATGTGCCTTGAACCCTGCAAAAGGTCCGAACCTACAAGTAGGTACCTTTCGACCTGTTGGGTAGTTGTAAGCGGGAGTCGTGTGCAGAGGTGTGTTTTACGGTGGACCAACCAGAAGCAGGAGGTTCCTGGGGAGATGGCGAACGGCGCAAAGATGGCGAATCGTGGGGTGATGGAGAGTGACGGGGAGATGGCGAATGATGGGGAGATGGCGAATCTCGAGATGGTGGCAAATCTCGGGCCGATGGGAAATGACGGGGCGATGGCGAATGACGGGGAGAATCACTGGGCGATGGCGAATGACGGGCAGACGGGTTCCGAGGGGGGGAGGGAGAACATTGGGGGGATGGCGAACGAAGGGGCGGTGGGGAGTAACGGGAAGATGACCGCCGCCGAGTGGGCGATGGCGAATGATGGTTTGATGGCAAACGATGGGGGGATGGTGAACGAGGGGTTGGTGAATGACGGGAAGACGGTGGACGATTGTTTGATGTTGAATGGCGCTGGGATGGTGTACGTTGTGAGCGCTCTAAAACGAAAGTGCCTCGTGTCATTGTAAGCAAAAGCTTGATATGATACCAGTTTAAAAGAACACAATATTGAAAGAACAATCCTAGAGTGTGTGTGTGTGTGTGTGACTATAGTCGGAATACTGGACCAAAGGGTTCGAAACCTCATTCTGTAGAGATATCAAGGATCAGTCAAACCACATGTACATTGAAATGAGAGAAAAAAATATATGTCTTTCCTGAAACATCCCAAAATATAAATTGCAAACAAGCATTACACTAAACATGGGGTTCTGCAATGTCTGTCAAAATCTGCGTACAAACACGGAAAAAAACAAGTTACTTAAAAATTACAGAATGTACAATCATGTAGATCCATGATGGCAATAGGCTAGCCTGACTAGAGATTCCCTTCCACTGGTCAGGCCAATAAAAGCTTGATGTGCAACACCTATAGTCAGGAGAATGTGGTAATCCTGTTGATTTATCTACTTTGCTCAGGTCCTATTAGTACATGTAGTTCAGTTCTAGATCTGGAAAGGGAATTCTCAACTTATTAGAGGTGCATGGCCACGATCTTTTGCACAGGAGGTCCATTCAGTTCCTGACAGCAAGAGCTTGTGTCACACAGGTTAGCATAAACTTCCCTAGAGATGTTACAAAGGCAACTAGAGAAGTAACAGTTGCAAAGCAAATGCATAATGTTTACCTTCGGACATGGTCTGCTCTGTTACTTCTTACTCAAACACATTCACATACATGTACAATTTAGTACATGGTGACAGAAGCAAAGAAGACCATGAAATTGCAACATTATGTAACCCAACACCAGTCACCATGGTGACAACGAATCATGTCATTGGTCAGGTCATAGGTCACTGTTTGGAGAAGAAGAAGAAGAGGAAGAAACTGAGCAAAAACAATTTTCCTTTCAAATTGGTAAACATAATAATTGAAAGTCAGTACAATTTATACTGTAACCGTAGTTTATCCTAAAAGAAAAGAAACTTCTTCCTACCTGTGAGAGACACACCGGCAGGCTTGGTGGGTGACATCTGTGGTTCCTGTCCCTGTGTGAAGGACACGGTTACCCAGTCGGGGGAGGGCAGTCTCTCGGCCGAGGCCGACGCTGCGTACGGCTGGCGGTTGGGCGACACGGCGGCGCCGACCGTGTTCTGGTTGAAGACATCCTCTCTGTCCAGACTGTCCACACTGCCGTTCAGCTCATTAGCAATGGCTGGTTGTCTGTTGTCTGCTAGTTGTAGAAAGACACATAATTAAAATTAATAACTTTATTATCTCAGTCTGTTGTATCTATACATAATCTTTATCTATGTAAAAGTATCTATGAGTAATATACATACATGTAATACTATCTGTTTTGCAAATAAACCATCCATTCATCTTTTCATAAGAGTTCATTCTTTCATTCAAATTAATAACCGAAATGAAACAGACAAGCAGATTTCAGTTATGGCAAGTGACTTCCATATCTACCCCTCTACAACAATTAGCAAAATTTAATACTACAATCAAATATCTTGGCTATACATGTAGGTTTATTACATCATACATAAAACAAATACACTGTAGTGTAATAAGGTCATTAAGTACATCGTCAGAATGTACTGGTCCTGTGCAAAACCTGAAGTTTTCATGGTTTTCATTGGATGTTTGCTTAACATCATAATTTTCCCCGTTGCAGACAATATCTGTTCCAACACAACATTTGAAAACTATATACTATTAGACAGGATGTCATCCTAAAATACAAAAATACAACCTTAAATGAGACGTTCTGTCAAAGTGCTATATGCACACATTATGGGCTTTGCACAGATGCAGTACGTGTTTATAGTAGACATCCTTTTGTTAGTACCTTTTGTCTCTGGTGCAATGGAGAAGCCAAAGTCGTTACTGTCCTCATTGCCACTCGTACTGCGCTGACGGGTGGGTTTGCGGCGAGGCTTTGTCGATCTTCTCTTGCTCAGTTCAGCCTTGCCTCGAGCGACGCTGGTGTCCAGCTTGTGAGCCTGAAGGATATGCCAACATTTCAGTGGTCATAACTTTGAAGTCTATTGTACAACAGTTACTATCATTACGACTCATGTGTTGAAAATATTTTTGCCCTACCATGAAATATCTGTCGTAAGTACATGTAGTCAACAAATTTTGTTGCAAAATTTTGTTTCTTTTCTTTGCCGATCCAACCAAGGTCCACACTTGCCTCAAATTAAGCTGACACTTTTGTGTAATTTTTCACCAAATTTGCCCCTAAAAATTAAGGAGATAGCATTTCAGAGGGTCTAGATTTCAAAATTTTCCCAGGGTCCGGCAGGTGCTAGAAAATGATCTAAATCGGCTTCACCAAAAATTTGAAGCTCTGTCCATATCTTTACAGTTTACACGCATGGATTTTTGTCCAACAAATATGACAGATTGGGCAAAATTTTTGGCGTCATGAGCGGCAAAATTCCGTCAAATGATGGAAAAACGGGCGCTGGGTAGAACCCTGCAAGTAACCTTTTCTGGGACGTTTGAGCTACATGTAACTTGTCAACTGTCAATGTGCCCAACATATTTTCTAGCATGTGGAAATAACTACTAAATGCAAGCAAGGACATTATACACAGTGTATAATGTCCTTGATGCAAGCAAACACATAAACAGCCACACCAAAACAAAAACCCCTTACATGGAGGTAATGATAAATGGAAAAAAAAATTATCATAATATCATACCTCGATATTGGGGAAGTCAAACTCATCGTCAGCGGCCACGGTGCCCTGGTCATCCTCCTGTTTCCTCCGCTGGCTGGGAGAAGACTCGTTACTGGAGGGGCTGGACGAACGCTTCTTTCTCTGACAGGAGAGGAACAGGCAAGGAATGAACATCAAGGTTTGGTTTGAAGGGAACAGTACAGTGTATCAGTTTTACTGCTGAATCCTGCTTAACACAGGTTTAAACTAGAGAAGTAACATTTGCAAAGCAAATGCAAAATGTTTACCTTCGGACATGAGTGCTCTGTTAAATCTTACTCAAACACATTCACATAATTATGTACTACTAGTATATAACTGACAGGAGTAGAGCAGACCATGAAATGGCAACATCATGTAACCCAACACCAGTCACCAGACGTCAACAAATCATTGTTATTGGTCAGGTCTTATAAGTCACAGTTTGGAGAAGAAGAAGAGGAAGAAACTGAGCAAAAACAATATGCTTTCCTTTGGTAGACATAAAAAAACTCTAACAATACAATTTACTGTATATAAATGTTGCATAGATGCTACTAAATAAACTGTCAGGCAATATGAGCCCAGATTAATACAATAAGATTATCATATTATACTTTACTACAGAAAAAATTGCTTATTATAACTATATTCAAATACTATACTTATGCGAAGAAATATTACCTGAGTGTTTATCAATTATGTTTATGACATGTGCCAAAACTAAATTTTATAGTACTGCTGCAGTGTCTTTTGTAACTTAGTGAAATACTAGTACATGTATGTTAGGTTTATTTGTGTAGACTGTTTGTGACTGTTGGATGTGAAGTATGTGATGTCAGCACTTTTATTTATCTTCTGTAATATTGATTTACCTTACATGTCTGGACAAACCATGCAAGCCACTTATATCATAAGGCCACAGCAAGTAATTTTTATGGATGACATCAGCGCGAGCATTGATTTTCGCCTGATTTTGGAAAAAAAAACAAGAAATTTTGTTGCCTTCTGACAGTGGTCAACATGCCAAAAATGGGCAAAGATGTCTGTTGCCATGCCAGAAGGTGGATGACAGATAACTATAAAGAGAGGAGACAAGAAAAGGCTCTGATTTAATGTTGTGTTTCTTACTTTGATGCTGTGATATGTGATGCTGGCCGTGTACTAGTATATGTGATGTTCTCACTGAACCAAACCCATTTGTACAATGATTAAGTCAAAATTTTAAAATGTTACGGAACCTTGTTTTTCTCTGCCCGCCTTGTTTTTTTTTTCGCCCGCTCGTATTAGATTTGGACTGTGCGGAGGATGTCATCCATAAAATTTACATGCTGTGGCCTAACAGAAGTAGTTAGTATTCAGCAGACATTGTAAGAGTTAACAGCTGCACTTGAACATGCCTGGGCAAGTCTATGATGCACTTTCTATATTGGGCTACAGCAAAATCAAAGGAAATTGAATCAAATCAAATGAAAAGTGACAGCTCCAAGTTAAAGCTTGCCTTTTTAGCAACCTAGTACAATCTCTGATCTATGCTGTTCCAGGCCTTTATTACACATTTGATAGAAGTATGTCACAGACAAAATATCATAATTGGTTCTACTGGACATCACAATTAGAAGTCTCCTAAGCCAGCATTCAGCCAACAACGGGGGCCTGCAGTGGGGGGGGGGGGGGGGTCCCGAGTCCTGACAATGCTCTACACTAAATTTTGAGAGCTGGCTACGTACATGTAATATATGTATACATGAATTTGCTTTACGTTAAATTCCAAGTGGCTACAATGCATTACGTAGAATCAAAACGGCAAATACGCTCTACGCAAAATGCGCCAATTACGCTCTACGTTGAATTAGAGCGGTCTACGTAGAATTAAAATGGCCGATAACGCTCTACGGAAAGTGCATGCAGGCCCCCAACAACTGCTCAGCAGAATTGAGATACAGCCGCGATGGTGGTCTATGACGTCAATAGCAGAGGTCACATGTGTTATTTCCTCTTGGATGCTGTCCATTTGGCCGCTATCTCCATGTTCTTACACTTGCTCTCTGTCAGTCAACAACACCAGCTTTTTATGTAGTAAGACCACACCAATTTAATTTATTGTTTCTCAGATTTTTTCAGAAAAAATATGAAGCGACAGGGCGAAATAAAAGTAAAAAGAAAGGCCAAGGCACCCCATGATAGCTGGAAATGTTACAATTATTATGAGCCATGAAGTGAACATACTGTGTACCAGGCTGGTTTATAAGCAAAATAATAAGATTTTGAACTTTTAATGAAACAAAGTTGCATTGTTACAAAAAAAAACTTTAACAACTAGGAAGAGAAGCATTTTCTTCAACATTACTGTTGGGGCCAAAATTTGTCTTTCATTGAGCATTTTGCAGTTGATTCAGAACAATTTTTTTTTTTTTCAAATCAGAAAAAATTGGACAGGGCGAATCCGAGAAACAACAAATTAAATTGGTGTGGCCTAAACTTGTGGGGAGTGAACTTTGCTTGGTGGTGTTTTATCCAGAGTGTACAATGTAGAGCAAAATATTTACTTTTAGATTGTGGACCTGGGGTTGATATAGCCATACAAAAACAAGTTTGGGTAAAGTGCTTGGTTGATAGAGTGCAAAACAGAAGCAACACGAAATCAGAGATTTCAGACTTCTCGGAAGTATGCAATCCTTGGCTTCCTGAATTCCCCCATGTCCACCTCTAATTCCTGATTGCTCCCAGGCCAGTTCTGAGACCTTTGTCCACCTATCATTCTGCCTGTTAATCTTCCCACCCATGTGCAGTCAACCTACTCTGCCTGGACAAATTATACACAAACCCATAGCTCACCCACCATTAAAACACTACTTTTGTATCCAAAAATAACAAAATAATTGGTAAGAAAAAATATGCAATTATAAATTCCTAGAGGAGAAAGCACACAAACATATTAAGAGCTAAGTGGAAAACAAAAACAGTTGTGAATTCTAACAGATTTGACAAAAAACAATAAGACGTTAACAGATTACAAAATCCCGGAGGTTTCTTTGGGACTTTCTGCTCTAATCTATGATAATCTTATTTCCGCTGTGGAGTCGATCTGGTAACCCTCAAGGCTGATTAAGTTTGAGTAATGATACCGCGAGGGGATTCCCTTGTACGTCCTGCGTATCATTTTGAATACTAAAATCAACATACCATATTCCATGTTTTATCATGCAGGTCAAATTCATAACTGGATAAGTTTTTTTATCCAAGTCGTCAAATTTTGAGATGGTTAAGTTGTTAATAGTAGCTTTGTCCAAATTTCCCTTGATAGCCCAACCTAATGACCCCAATTCTTGGTGAAATCAGTGACATCGTCAATTTCGGGATCCTATTTCGTCCAATCAGTGAGCTGTCTGACCATGATGTATTGTAACAGGATGTGAGACATCATCCTGAAGTTTGAGTCTGGTTTGTTTCCATCAGTCAGAGGCAGGACAGCTTTGGACCTCCAGAGAGGTAACAAGAAATTAGAGATTTAAAACCTCCTGGAGAGTTCAAAAATTTCTTGATAGAAAAAGAGAGATGGTCTCACGTATTACAATGGGCCTATGGGAGAAAGCTAGCAGGCTGAGGCACAAAGTGCATAATCTAGCTTGTTGTAACAAGCTCTGGGTATTCCAGTGACTTGCAGTTATATTATAGTGTGCAGATGGACCTTCCTGTCAATCTGCAGTTACATATTTGAAGATTTGAAGATCTCATATTATGAGATTGTATTTGAAGATTTTGTAACTGCAGATTGACAGGAAGGTCAATCTGTACAGTAACTGCAAGTCACTGGAATAAATTGGTACATACAGAATTCTAGGCAGCAGGTAGAAGGTTACAAGTAACTTTCAAAGAATGGCAGCAATACTTAGGTGAGAAACTTTTCAAAAGGTTGTTTTGAAAAACAATTAATACTAACACTGTGCTAAGTTATGTTATGATATAATGTGTACAAACAGCAGGAAGAAAGTTGAAATTAAAACATTGTGTCAAACATCTACCAAATTATTGGAAGACGTTTCAGGGTATTTCTAAGGCTAAAGAAACAATTTCTTCTAATTCAACAAAATGCTACCTAAGGCCACACCAATTCAATTTGTCGGTTCTCGGATTTGCCTCTTCACTTTATTTTTCAGATTTGCCAAAAAAAAAAAGATTCTGGTTCTGAGTCAGCTCAAAAATGCTTATATTTTGCACCCAACAGTTGAAGAAAGTCCTTTTCTTCCTACTTGTACTTGTTACTGTGACAGATTTTCAATGTAGTGGTTTGATTAAAAGTTCAAAATTCATTGTTTAAATATTAACCCAGCCTTTTGTGTTGACTTCATGGCTCCTATCGTTGTGTTTGGAGCTATAATAGGATGCCTAGACGTGTTTTTTATTTTTTTCACACTGTCGCTTCATATTTTTTCTGAAAAAAATCCGAGAACCAACAAATCAAATTGGTGTGGCTTAGAGGACTAAGCCAAGGACAGACAAGTTTCTTCTATCAGTGGCAGTGCTCCAACCCACACAGTCTTCTCCACACATCATCGCTACTGTAAACAAATACTGCAGCTTCACATGTTGGAGGCCCCAGCTGATAAGGTCAGAGTAAAGAGGGACTATCAGTGTACAACTGGGCTTATTAGGGAGGCCAAGCTGAGATAACTGTGTTTATAGTTAGATAAGGTTTAATAAGAGATGTTACAGAACTCTGAGGTACATGTACATGTAGGTTTGTCTACTGGAAAACAAAGTTAACTGTTAGTGGACATATTTTTTCAGTGTACAAAATCCTTTTTTTAACCAGGTTGCCCAGTGGGCAACCTACGGGCAAAAATTAGGTTGCCCATTAGAATTTTAGGTTGCCCCACCTATAAATTACTACTTTCCTCAAATTTAGTAATGTTACATACATACGTAAGCCTTTGACAATATTTCTAACAGCCTTTAGTTAACTGATACAAATATACTAGAAATAGCCATTAATACCTAAAATTAAAAAGCATCTGCCAGATACAGTGGTGCAAGCCAAGTGGGCATGATTCTTACAATTCAGGAAGCACACTACCTAGGTTCAAAAATACATTGTAGGTTGCCCCAAGTAAAATTTGGTTGCTTGGGGCAACTGGGCAACCATGTATTTATTTTGCACGCTGTTTTCAAAAAGTGATCTCGAACCAGTTTATGTGTAGCTCATCAAAGATCCACTCTTCCACTACATGTAGTTGTGACAGAGAAGACAGATGCTATGTACAGTACATGACTGTATAATGTAACTTTACAGGTTCATTGTACTGAGAAAATTCCTCTGGCTCTTTTCCATCTTTATATGCATATAATTATGTAACATTTAGGGGCTGAATGTCACTGTCTTTTACTTGATATACATGTACATTGTTGTCAATAATGTGTCATGTGCCTCAATTAAACAATTTTTCTTGAGAAAAAAATGCAGTACCCTAAAATTTTATGGAGAGGAAAATTATTCATTAATTTTGAACAAGCAAGCTAATTTTGAAATGCCAACTAAACACTGGGTCACATCCTTAAACAGGTGGTCAGACATGCAGAACAAACACCTGTTATGGCCTTTTAAGAATACAATACTTTGTGGGATGCCTTTAAGTCTAAGAGACTTGCATTTGGCAATTGTTCAACAATTCAAAACATCTCTTGGACACAAGCTTAAAGGCACATGGTTTTCAGAGAGACCTTAGACTGCATGGCAACAACAACTTGAAGGTTTTTTTTTCCCTAGACCAGTACATGTACATGTAAATGTCATTCCTAAGCATGAGAGTCAACCTTTTCACTTTAAGATCAGCATTAGATCAAAAGGCCTTTGTTGAGTTTTCAGACTTATACTATACTATACATGTATATACGCTCAACGAACTATAAGTTATAGTTCATCTTTTGGAGTTTTTGTGACTTTCAAAATCACAGACCTCCAGGAAGTGTTTGGGGTTTTAGTGAATGTAGAATATTATAAGAACTGCACGTGAAGGGAATTGTATGATGTAATTCAATCACTATTATAATACACTCTGAATTCCTCCACATACTACCAACATACTCCCACCTGCCATGCAGGGTCACCTTCAGGCATGACCTCATCAATCAACTGTCAAAATCACCTCCCACCCACCATGCGACCAAAGCTATTAAATAGGAAAAAAACAGTGACACAAACCCACAACTCAGCCATCCAAAACAATACTTCAGAATCATGTACCCTGAAATAATTAGACGCCATTTGCCATGTTTTTTATTTTTTTCAATTACCATGCAGAAGCAATGACGGATGTTCTCAACTTGGAGCCATAATCTTACCACATTGAAGTTATCGTGAAAGTAACCAGAAAAATATGCGTTGTGGCTTATCTGTTCACTGGTATTATAACACTCTGAATTCCTCCACATACTACCCACATACTCTCACCTGCCATATAGGGTCACCTTCACAGATGACCTCATCAATCAACTGTCAAAATCACCTCCCACCCACCACGCAACCAGTGACACAAACCCACAATTCAGCCATCCAAAACAATACTTCAGAATCTGTAATGAGAAATAATTAGACGCCATTTGCCATGTTTTTGATTTTTTCAATTACCATGCAGGAGCAATGACGGATGTTCTCAATTTGGAGCCATAATCTTACCACATTGAAGTTATCGTGAAAGTAACCAGAAAAATCTGCATTGTGGCTTATCTGTTCAGGTATTCCTGTCATGTTACAAGCAGCCGACCGATTTATCTGTGTCAGGGGGAGCCTCGCTGGCACATGGTGAGGAATTTGTCCACAAACATTGGAGGACTGGGAGATGTTGTTCCGGACAGTTTGTCAGAGTTCATGTCATACTGTAGATACAGAAACTTTTGCAGTGGTTTTATTTTTTTTACAGTGACAGCCTCAAAAATTAGAACACTGCAAATACTTGTTTATAGTTCTACCTCATTAACTGTGCAACAAAATTTTTTGACCCGCAAACTTCAAGTACCTCAAAAACCTTTCCGTCATACCACAAAATTAAACCTACCACGAAGGTAAGGGAATTTACAGTACATGTACTTGAAGCCAACAAGTAAGTTTTGCGAAGGGTTTCTGACACTGACAGCTCTGGGAATGACAATCACCTAATATGCTAGCAGTATCTTTAACCTACAGCCTGCTAAAGGTACATCAGGGACCAAATTTGTATTTGTATTAAAGGTAGCTGGAAAAAGTTAAACTCATAAATTGTGTATGCTTCATCTCCAAACCTGAACCAAAGCCATATGATTATAATTTTCTTCCTCATAATCCTTGGACCTGACTTCAGTTAAAAAAATAATAGGTCAAAAAAATATGTTATCCGAATCTACCATCAGTTAAAAGTTCTGTACATTGTAAAATTTTCCAGACAGAAGTACGTATAGGTAAGTATATTACAGCAATAAAACTGGACATCATAAACGAATATGTCGTACAGATTGCTCTTTTTATAGTCAGTACAGTGAAACTATCAACAGTAAAGCCAGTGTCTACAATATTATGAACATGATTGTTATGTTTCCAAGTCATACAAGGCTGTACGGTCAGATATTGAGAAACGAGGTATTGTTATAGGTCTTCTGTTATATGTTGGAGATCACCCTTCAGCCTGTACTGCTAGTAATTGGATTAAATGCCTCCCAGTACATAACCCAATCACCTCTATCTCCACATCTGGCAGGGGCTATGCTGAATGTCAATGCTTTACAGACATCTAAAACCTGAGTACTACAGAGCAAAGCTTTAAGGTTTCAAAAAAACCTCTCGTTCAAGACATGCTGGTCGTACCTTAAGACGTCCAAAGTGCCTGAAGGTCCACTTCTTCAAGACAAGTCCGCGCTTCCGAAGGTACTTGAGGGGCATGATCACCCGGAGAAAACAAACCCGCCAAACTCTTACGAGCGGCAAGGGAAGGCCACTAAAGAACGAGCGCGTGTTTACATGTAAAGTGCGCCGGGCGGCTTACATGGTGTAATGGCACTCTGTCAGACCACACTCAGCTCAACCCACTTAAGCTATTCCAGGAAGGGAATTAACTTCGGAGTCTTTCTCCTGACTTGATCCTTGTGGTGGCTGGTGGCAGTGTTAGAACATGTATAGGTCATTACACCATTGTTGAGGGGACAGTCCATTTTAGCCGGGGGAGGGGGTGGTGGTTTGGATCTAAATTTTATAAAAACCAATACCAGGTTGATTTTAGAATTCCAAGCAGGCGATCCAAATTTCCTGAAATCTCCAACCCAAAAAAGGCTTAGCATTATATCAAAGGGGTTATAACTGATTTGAAATGTTTCGTTGTAAGTTTAAATTGTAATAGATGGCATAGCGGTTATGGGCTAGCCCTCTTCAGTGATGGGAGCGCAAGTATGAGTGGCTCTCGGGTTGACCCCATTATGTGATGGGGAAACCAATCACAGAAAACAGCTGCACAATGACATGAAAGCTGGAGACCTGTATATGGAAACATGACCCTGGTTAGGGGTGAGGCAATACACCCCTAGGTTGGATAGGATTGTACCATCTCATCACGAGGGGTGGGCAGAACCATTGAGGGATTTAAATCGGTGTGCGAAATCCTGTAATGTGTCCTTCAAGGATATCGGTTATCCTTACTGGTAATGTGAATTTATTGGTGGGTGATATGATGTTAGGTTAAGAAATTATTTGTCATCTACAGAAATTGCTTGAGGACTGAATTTCATCCTTCTTTACTTAGGCCACGCCAATTTAATTTGTTGGTTCTCGGATTCGCCTCTTCATTTTTTTCTGATTTGCAAAAAAAAAAAAGATTCTGGTTCTGAATCAACTAAAAAATGCTCATATTTTGCCCCCAACAGTTGAGGAAATTCCTTTTCTTCCTAGTTGTTACAGTTTTTTCCATCTATCAAATTGAATGCAGTGGTTTGATTAAAAGTTCAAAATTTATACTTTAAATTTTAACCCAGCCTTTTTTGTTGACTTCATGGCTCATATTGTAGCATTTGGGGCTATAATAGGATGCCTAGACCTGTTTTTATTTTTATTTCTTTTCTCCCTGTCACTTCATATTTTTTCTGAAAAAATCCGAGAACCAACAAATTAAATTGGTGTGGCCTTACTTAGATTTGGGTTACTGCAATGCTTCAAGGGTGGATGAACATCAAGAAATGACCTTGGTTCTGGGGATTTGGAATGGTGGCAAATTGTAAGGTAAAACATACATGGAACATGCACTGACAACCTTTTCAGCTTTGCTTGGATAATCTGCCACTTTTAGAACTGTTACAGTAAAAAATGAGACAGACAAATTTGCAAATTCTTATATCAATTGTAAGATATGAACTGAATTGGTTAAAGTAAGAAAAGATTATTCTACTTGTTCACAAAAAAATAAAGGATTGCATTACAAAATATTGAAATTCACATCAAAATCAACAAAATTTGCTTCTGCTGTTAAGCTGGTAATAGAAATTCATTCATAACTTCAAACCACCATTTGAGCAAATTCATAAGGGAGTATGGAAAAATTTACATCCCATTTAACTTCAATACAGTTAATATAATTGCTCCTATTATGATCTGTCATAAATCTCATATTATCATGACATTGATGTCTTCACTAATTCATATCGACATACTTTGCATCAAATGTGGGCCAAAGGTCGATCACTTTGATGACAAAGAGGAGAAACATGCCAGTTTCGATGTCAGTTGAGAAGAAACTATGCCTGATATTTAGGCTATGCAAAAACACACCCCTCAGGCACACCCAGATTACGTACTGTAAAAGTTTTAAATGTTTGCAGTGGTTTTATTCATCTTCACTGCAAATTCATGACACTACAAATATGTTCTAATGTCCTGTTATACTACTGTACAGTATATTGCAACTGCATTTCAGCTGTAAACTTAGACCACACCAATTTAATTTGTTGGTTCACAGATTTGCCTGCTTAATTTTTTCTTATTTGCAAAAAAAACAAACATTTCAGCCTCTGAATCAACTCCAAAATGCCCATATTTTGGCCCCAACTGTTGAAGGAAGTCCCTTCTCTTCAGAGTTGTAACAGTTTTCTTAAATTCATAATTTTGGTTTAAAAGTTTGAAAACCAATGTTTGAATTACAAACCAGCCTGGACTGGTATCTTGGCTTTTTAACATTTGGGCTATCATAGGATGCCTAAAGTCTGTTTTATTCCTTTTTCACCCTGTCACTTCATCGTTATTTCTATGAAAAAATCCGACATCCCACAAATCCAAACTGGTGTCACAGGCCTAATACGATACTGCAAAAACCTCCCTTTTCTCTTCTAAACTGCGAAATTAGGCCCCGTGAAAATGAACAAATCTACGGTATCACCCTCCTACACTCTTACGTCACCACAGTAGAGCCGTGGGAATATTCACTCTGGCCTTGGGCGTGTTTGTCTATGTAAGAGCGCCGAGTGTGTTAGAATTAGTTTTGAGACCAAGCATGGTCTTGACCTTTGGGTCTGCTTAAAATTACTTAGTGTGAAATCACTAACAACAGATGCAGGGCAAGGTCAGGTTCTTTTAGCTTCATGTAACATTACTGTTCACATACTTTTCGGACATGTTTTAAGTAAATTTCCCCACTTCAGATTCTTAACAAGTAAAGAAAAATCTATTTTCCTGTTAACCTTTGATATTATATGAACCAAATCTAACTACACATACAGCATCGTACATTTATACAATTACTAAGAAGCGAGAAGACTAGAATATATCAGACATTTTTATATACATGTACAGTTATATCTGTATGAATATGGATTCATATAATGTATAATGTGACCTGTGCTTAGCCCAGTGGGGCAAAAATGTACAATAAAGGTATTCATTCATTATCATTCAAACTGAATAGAGGAAAGTCGGAAGTGCATATTAATCTTATAGACTAATATAATAATTACAGTCCCCTTCAGAATTTCTTAATGGAAAAATTGGATGAATCCATTGGGTACAATCAGCTGCAATTTGAAGATTCATACAATGTATTTGCAATAGTTTTAAAGCCCATATTAATCATAATAATTCAGTATACTGGAACTCCACCATGAAGAGGTGCCATAGACCACTAAGATGCATCCTGCTATTAAATAAAACAGAAATAGCGGTTTACAATGTAAATAATTTTTGTCATTCTGCCTGTCAATCTTCCCCCACCCACCTGCTGTCAGCCTATTCTGTTTGGGAAAAACAGATACACAAAACCCACAGGTCAGCCACCCAAAACAGTTACTGTACTTCTGTACCCAAGACATTAGTGTGACAACATACATGTACACAGACACATTTACATGTACACAGACATGTTTTATTTCCTGCTATGGTTCAACAGAGACTAGAGGAGACAACAATAAGGCCATGTTGATTTTATTATATGGATGACATCCTCTGGGAACCCCAAAACTGATGCGAGCGTGCAAATAAAAAAAAGTTTGGCCCCCCAAAAAAAGATGCTTTAGTTTCATTATGAAATCTATGTAACTGTTAGTTATGATGGTTGACCAAATGACACAGAGTATGGTATGGCCAATTATCCAGTCTTCAAATTCATTTCTTTACGTTTTCTTCTTTTTCGTTTGATTTTGGCATTCTAGCACATCGTAATCATTTTCCAATATTTTTTTTGCAACTTACGGTACATATCTGCTCATTTTGGAACTGTTTTGTACAATTTACAGTATGGTTCAAAATTATTATTTTTTCATATTATTTTTTATATTTTTTTGGAAACGGAAAAAAATATTCATGCACGCGCAGATGTTATCCATATAATCACATCAACATGGCCTAAGCATGACCTGACACCCATGCCTGCATGTAAATTGCAGGCTAAAGCTCTATTCTTGATGGTCGTAAAAACAGCCCAGTCGCTTGATAAGAGTTATCGCAAGAGTAATGGTACCTTACACTGGGGATTTGTGGTCAAACATGTGGTATTCGAAGTGCATGTAATAGATTATAGGCACAACATTCGTGTCTATTTTTCCATAATATTATCCTCAAGAAAACAGTTTAAGCTTAATAGTGTACTTAACAGCCAGGTACAGCGATATCATTTCACTGTTGGCATCAAAGAGGTAAAAATAGTCCTTTTACATCATCAGGAAGTGATTCAGAACATGATAAATCCATAGAGTATTAACTTTATTTTACGACTGCCCAACAAGTGGTCTGTATTATAAGTTGCTGGGTGTGATCTAAGTGGTGGAATTGACTGAGACTCGACTGTCCTTTGCTGAAACACAGGGTAGCTGAAACTATAGTTTATAAACTCTGAATAAGTTGCCACAAATTACTAATTGAAACGGGAAGGCACAACCGCATTCCTCTCCAGAATAGACTCTGTCATTACTGTAACATGAATAGAATTATAGAAGATGAACAACACAGACTTTATTTTAGACTGTACTTCATATTCTAATGAAAGATCTGTCCTTTTTAATCATATCAAAGAGAAGTTCCCATACTTTGAACACCTATGCGCAAATGATAAATTTATATTTTTGATGCGCCTATAGCTAGACAAACCCTGTATCACAAACATGATCTGTTCCCACATTTTGACTTGAACTTGACCACTCTGCTCACTAGAACACTTTGTATTAGCCCAGTATCAGTACCCTTGTATGTTCCTTATGTATGCATGTGTAAGTCAAGTAGTGTATCTTTTGTCTCCAATTTTCTACATACATCTGTAATGTGTCTGTTAAGCCCGTCGTGGCATGAATGTACAATAAACTTTAAGGTACAGTATTTCAGTTAATTTTGCTTTTCATAGAGCCTAACATAAGAAGAAAAATAACAACTGATCAGATTGATCTCAATAGGCTTTTAGGAAAATATAATTGTAACAAGACTTCACATTTAATGACAGATTTTGACAGCATTACTACGATGCTGACAATCGTAAACAGCCCCCTTCTAGGCCCCAGTGCACAAATAGATCCACCCACAATTACGAGGAAAACGTCATGGCCGATTTTCCTGATCTTGTCACGTCTGACAATTGCTTAACCAGGTGTGGAAAATCAGGGCTGGTAGCCTGCTGTATGCATAGGTGTTGTACGTCATGGTGTGAACATGTGCCTTAAGTACACAGAGAACAT